GGGCGCGAGGGAGACCAGGGCCCCCGCCAGCAGGACCGCCAGCATGAGTCCGCGCAGGCCTGCGGGTAGACGGGAGCGGTCAGGCCCGGGTTTCCCGGGCGGGCTCGGGTTTGGCGAAGGGCGACCCCTGCCGGCAGCACTGTCGCAGTGTGCCTGCGCCTGCAGGCCGAGAGCCCGCCCTCACCATTGGGCATGAGCTTCACGACGAGCCGCGGGTAGGCGATGTTGGAGCAGCCCACCTCGGTGCCGCACACGCGCTTACACACTTCGGGCACTACGCACGCCACTTCGTCTGCGAGAAAGATGCCACAGTGTGGCTAGAACCGGGCCTGGTCTGGGAACTAGGATCCCTGAAGTGGGGACTGCAAATCCTAGCAGAGGAAAGATGGGATTCCTGGTGGGAGGCAGGACTGGGCAACCGGATTCCCTATGTCCTCGCACGAGGCAGGAGCTGGATGGGGCACGGAACTTGGGCAGGAGGAGGCTGACGTTACCTGGGTACAGGATGCGGCTGATCATGCCCGGCATGACCATGAGGAACATAGGCATCAGCTTCAGGTAGCCGCACAAGATGCACCCGGCCTTGATGTGGGTCAGACTCTTCCCCGCCAGGCAGCGCTGCACGATGACCTGCGAGAGGGGCTTCCAGCTGCCTGCCCGCCGTCCCGGTACCCCGACGCCGGTCCTGCCTCGCTCCGCTGCCACCGCCCCTCTCCCCGCCACCAATTCCCCTTTAATAAGTGCCCAGCCTCTGGCTCAGCCGCATCCCTAGTCTGACCCCATTCCCAGGTCCTGCCGCTAGGATCGAGCTTCTCCAAGGTTGGCTCCCCGGGCTCCCGCCCCCTCAGGCCACGCCTTCCACCTCGCTCGGGGGCGGTTTCAGGCTCCACCCAGCTCAGCTCCGCCCCACCTTAACTCTGGGCGCAGGCGCTAACCCCGCACCTGGTCGCTGCACCAGTACCAGCCCGAGACGATGGTAAGCCCCAGGAGCAGTGCTGGCCACGGCAGGTCCCCGGTCACAGGGTCCCGGAGCAGGTGGTAGGAGTCGGGCCGAGGTCGATAGCAGGAGCTGGAGATGTTGCCCACCACCGGATCCTCGGACACCGTCAGCGAAGTCATTGCCCTCAGGTATTTGTCGAAGAGCCCTGAATACCCGCCCACCTCGTGGAAGGCTGGGCGGGCAAGGCCATCAGGGGACCCATCACCAGTCCCAAGGCCTTTCTTACACTCACATGCCAGAGCGGCGCCACGTCCCAGCTCTGGGGTTGAGAGCCCTCTAGCTGGTGACCTCCTCGACCCTCCCCCATTGGCTTAGCCGCATACCGTAACCCATGAGGATGAAGGCCCCCCCAAGAATGACGAAGGTCTGCACGGTGTCCGTGTACATCAGCGCTGCCAGCCCCCCTGCAACAGGCCTGGATGAGTGAGGACATCCGGCTCCTGATCTCAGGCAGGCCGGCCTCAGCTCCCTATCTGTCTCTGCGGGGAACACATTTCAAACCGGTGGCACGTTCTCCTGGTTCTTGGGGCCGAGATTGGTGAACTCAGCGGGGCTGGGTTTCAGGCTCACTGATGCCCTCTAGGCCAGGAGCCCGCGTGCCTAACTATAGTCCCACCCCTCCCAGGTCCCAGTTTTCCTGGCTGTGTAACAGAAGCCGGTGATCTCTAAGGTCCAATTTTCAGATCTACCCCTGGCCTCTAGATCCCGTCTTAACTCCGCCTACTTCGATTTGCATCTGGCCTCAGGCCCCACCCCAGGACCCAGAAATGTGCCCAGTTTTGGTCAGAGATATTGGAGACTGGCCAAACCCTCTCCCAGGTGTCCCATAGAGGCAAGAACTGCTAAATCTTCCTTCCACCCCGGTCCCCACTTTGAGGCCCAGGCCTGGTTCGGCGCTCCGCGGTTCTAGCCCAAATTCAAAGAAGAGTTGGGAGAGATGGAGAATTACTCTCTCACCCGGACCGATCACCCTTCCCACCCTCCCCACACCGCTTTCCTCTAGCGGCTCCCCAAGCCCCGCCCACAGCTCCCAACGCGGGCCCCAGGCCCCTCCCTTCCCTGAGCCCCTGCGGGGCCACCTGTCACCGTGTAAATCATGGTGATGCCCAGGAGAGCGATGACCGAGGCGTAGATGTTCCAGCCCAGAGCCTGCTGGATGAACACCGCCCCCGAGAACATATCCACCTGGAGGGAGGGAGCGAGAGCGCAGGTCAGGACCCAGGTCCACCTCCTGCCAGAGCGGACCCCAGGAGGCCACGCCTCAAAAGCTTCCTCACTTCTCCATGGCCTGTCCTTCCCAGTTCCCACCCACTGTGGCCGCAACCACAGAGATCGATTCCTTCCAAGTCCTGCCGCCATCATGATTCTTACAGCGATTTCTTCTTGACCCCGCACCCTCCAGTCCTCCACTGGGCGATCCAGCCCTTCCAGGGTCCCGTCCCACCCGCCATGCCTGCGCACCGAAATCTTCGTGAAGATGTACAGAAAAAGCGAGAGCACCGACAGGTAGAGGCGGATGCGATGGCCGCCGAAGCGCTTGCGCAGGTACTGCGGCATGGTGATGACGCCCGCAGTCAGGTACACCGGCGCGAAGAGCCAGCCGAGGAGCAGCACCACGAACAGCGCCTGCGGGCACAGCCGCGCTCAGGGGACTCCAGATCGTCCCCGGCCTGCCCTCACCCCTGCAAGATCTGAGACTGGTTCCTGGAGGTACTCCTCCGAGGCAGGTGGCCCTGGAGGGTTGCACCTGAGGCCCAGAGGACAGCAGATGGCGATGGCCAGGCCCTGGGCATTAAGGAACAAGTCTCCACACCCTTTGGGGCCCTTAACTAGAGCCCTCCTTGCCCTCCCAGGCCATCGCCCCCAGCCAGTCTTTTCTCAAACTGTCCTTATGTTTCCCTGGCCCCCTTTCTAGCGTATGAACCCAAGCAGACCCCTTATGTGGACCCCAGCCGTGGCCAGTTAGGGCTGCCACCCCTCGGTTCTCCGCTCACCCTAACCTCTTGCCTCTCACTGAGGGTGGGGTTATTGCCCAACAGAACGACTCACATTCCACTCAAATCCAGCCACAGCCAAGCCACTTGCAGCACCAGTCCCTGCCAGTCCCACAAAGTGGCCACTGCCGATGTTACTGGCGAAGAGCGAGGCCCCGACCTGGGTGGGCAGGGGCGGGAGTGAGCCGGGTTACTTCTCCAGGCCCCCTCCCAGTCCAGGGTCCAGCCCCTCTCACCGGCCACCACACCATGCTTCGTCCTGCCAGGAAGTAGCCGCCAACGGTGCCTCTGTTGGTTCGGCACATGGACTGGGGGGCAGAAGTGGGGAGACACCTGGGTTTGGGGCACATCTTTGAACCTCATTCACCACCTCAACTCATTCCTCAGCCTTGTTTCAGGCTGAAGATTAACCAGCACTCAGCTCCTCTGATGGTTCGCACCCACCCCCTGCCTCCTCCCAGACACCCAGAGCAACCTGTTTTAGTTCTAGGGTCCGACTACCCAAGCCTGGGTGTCCGTGGATTGGGCCTGACTTTCCTGGGGCCCTTGGGTATGTGCTGCTGGTCAGCCATGATGTGAACAGGGGACCCCAAGACCTTATTTCGAATGCTGACCCTAATGAAAACCTTCTGATCCCCTTAAACAGCTCTATCCTAAAGTGGGACGAAGACAGGAAGCAATGTTGGCTGGGTCTCTTTGAAGCCCTCAAAAGACCTGCTTGCCCCCCACTCTCCCACCCTGGACCCTGGGTTTCTGCCTCAAAGATTCAGGAATCCTTCCCCACTCTCACCTAGAGTCTCCCTGAGAAATTTCTCCCAGGTCCTAGAATAGGAGTCCAGACCCCAGCAGCACCCCCTCGACTGCTCACCCACAAGCCGACACCAATGACCAGCAAGAAGTAAGCGGCAATGACCAGGATGTCAGCAGGATTGTCGATGAGGACTCGCTGGTCCCCCAGCCCTGGGGTCGCGTTGGCCTCCGTGTGTTCCTCCATTCTGTGCAGGATCTGCCCCTCCAAGGGAGCAGCCCCTGGATTCCCCCAGAGGAGGGATTAATGGTTACCTCGGGGGCAATGAGCCGACAAGTCCCCCACGTCTTGTCAGCGCTCCCCAGCTTTGTTTCGCTGAATCAGGTCATATCAAGGCCGAAGGCTGGTCCTGAGGAGTTGGACCCTATGAAGTTCGTGAGCGCTCCTTCCTGGGTCTTAGCCTCCAACTGCTCCCCAACACGCCGGGCTCAAAATCACCTCTTCCATACCCCTCAGCCTTGACTTGGGGAGACTGGTAGGCTGAGCCTGCTCCCTGGTTTGAACAAATCCAGAGGAATTCTTTTTTTTTTTGGAGAGGTTTTTTTTGCTATAGGGTGTGTGCGCTCGCCAGACAGACAGAGAGAGACAGAGAGACAGGAAGCGAGAAATCACCCCCCAGGGGGGATGGTCACGCTACAATCCCTTCTCCTCCATTCTCCTCTCGGGATCTTGGGCACGCACGCACACGCGCCCGGCGTGAGTTTTAAGCCACTGGGTCCTGGACGTGAACTGCGGTCAACTACGTGGGAGTCCAGCGACATAGCCATTACGCTAACTGCTGGTTCCCCTCAGCTTGATTTTCAAACTGGCCATGCCTGGATCCTGCCCAGCCTTCCTCTTGCTTTTCCATGCCAAACCTAGAGTGAAGTCACAGTTCTCCACTCACTCCCTTGCCCTACCCGGCCCAGATATTTATTTTTTCTTTTTCTTTCTTTCTCTCTCTCTCTCTTTCTTTCTTTCTCTCTCTCTCTCTTTCTTTCTTTCTCTCTCTCTCTCTTTCTTTCTTTCTCTCTCTCTCTCTTTCTTTCTTTCTCTCTCTCTCTCTTTCTTTCTTTCTCTCTTTCTCTCTTTCCTTGTTACCCAGATATTTGAACACCCCTCAGTTCTCTGTATAAATTGTGCCTTCTGCTTAGCAAGCCTCCCTGCCTCCCTGCCTCCCAAGTGGACAACTCCTATTCAGTCTTCAGGGCTCAGCCTGTCATCTCCTTAGAAAAGAGTTGTCTAACTTTTCTGGTGCAGTTCTGAGCACAGCGTGTTGACCTTTTCTGGGTCCAGGTCTGCTCTCCAACATCCTAGACTTCTCCTGAGCAGGGGCTGATCCGACTCATCCCTGGAGTTTTCTTGGTCAGCAGAGGGCTGGATACAGGAAGAGAGGAGTGTCTGTACAGCTGCCTTTCTGGAACTGACCAGATGTGGATGTCAGGGAATGGACAGGAGGGCCTCCTGTCTGCTTATGGCAGCTGCGGTTATCCCTGAGGTGGGGGAACAGAGCAAAAAGTTTTAGGGGGATATGATGAGTTTGTTTTAGGGGAACATGATGAGTTTGCTTAAAGAGTTTGGATTCCTTCAAAAGCAGAGCCTAAGAAGAGGCCTCTGGGGGCTGGCAAGAGGCATGGTGGATAAAGGTGCTGGATTCCCACATGGCTGACTGTGGTTCATATCCCGGACCTGGTGGCTTGTTTTCTTACTTTCCCTTTCTCTCTCTCTCTAGTCAAATTTAAATAATAATAATAACAAATGGAATTAAATAAATAGTTCTTTTCTTTAAAAAAAATGAAGAAGAGGCCTCTGAAGGACTTTGCTGGGAAACTGATCCCAGAAAGGACTGGGCAGGAGTGAAAAAGTGGGACAAAGAGAGGAGAAAAGAGCCGAGCAGGCCCAATGGTTGAGCCTTAGTGGGCTGCTCAAGTGAAGCTCGATCCCATGGTAACCTTGGTTCAAATCCCCAGCCTGGGCAGCCTGAAAACACTGGGCAAGTGGGTGCCCAGGATCTAACAGGCTGAAGGACTGGAGGAAGGGGATCATGGAAGGACAGACCCTGTGTAGGGTGCTCATATCCCTCTCCCTCTCTCACGCGCATATCCACACCTTTTATCATGAATAAAGAAAAAAATAAGAGTCAATAAAAGATGTGTTGTTTAAGATTGCCACTATGGGAGCCTGCAGGTGGTGTAGTGGTTAAGGTGCTGGACTCCCAGATAGTCGACCATGATTTGAGTCCCAGACCTGGTGTCTTGAAAATCACACTGGGTGCATGTGCGCGCATGCCCCAAATCCCAGAATAGAGAAGGGACTGCAGCGTGGCCATCCCTTCTGAGGGGTGATTTCTCACTTTCTCTCTCACTGACTGTCTCTCTCTGAGGAGCTCATATGCCCTATGGCAAGAACCTTATTAAAAAAAAGATTCCCGGGACCAGCAGTTGGCATAATGGCTATGTCACTAGACTCCCATGTAGTTGACCGCGGTTCAAGTCCTGGACCTGCTGGCTTAAATTCACGCTGGGCACATGTGTGTGTGTCCAAGATCCCAAGAGGAGAATGGAGGAGAAGGGATTGTGGCGTGGCCATCCTCCCTGGGGGG